TCTTCAGGTGGGCCGACAATGCAACTGTTTCTACGATATCCCAATTGGACACAACTGCTAGGAGTTCGATAGTACCACAACGGGAGACCACCGCATATGGTTCGAGTTCTTCAGTATCTACCACACCCCAGTCAGACACGTTTGCTCGGGGTTTTAAGGTATCAGAATTGAGCAACATTCGTCGTAATGTGATTTTACATGTTAAAGTCAATATTATCATATTTTTCCTTGTAATTTTAACATGTTATTTTTTCTTTTTTTTTGGGTCTTATTATAATCCATATTAGTGTATGAAGGTGTAATGAACTTTCATATATGTCACTGTGCTTTTTTTATGTAATCAAAACTTTTTGGAGTTATATAAATATTATTAAACTTTTTTCCATTTTCATTTCTTGACATTTGAGAAAATAACATTCTGCTACACAGATTATTCATTCAACTAAAAAAATTTGCAAATAAGCTGTTTACAAAACGCACTAACCAAACCTTATTCAGAACAGGGGCAAAATGGTCAATTTTCCAGAATCAACTGCTTTCCAGACGCACTAACTAAATAACCAGACAACTTATCTGGATCAGCTGATCATCAACAGATTATCAGGATAAACTGCTTATCAGCAAAAGATAAATAAGCTGCAGCTGCCCCAAACAGACCCTAAATCTTGGTGCAAGTTTGCATTGGGATGATCTGCTTGGGTTTCTCTTCACCTGTACAACTATTATTAGATAGTAAAATTTTAATGGGAGATTCCACAATTGATGATAAGCAATTATCAACCCATATATCATTCTAGAACTAAAGCATTCATCAAACTCAATTTACTGAAGAAATCCCAAGCATACATTTAACCCAACAAAATGATTATGAGGGTTGGAAGAAAATGTAAACTGCAATATCAGAGGATTCGAAATACATTCAGTGGGTGTTCTTTGGCCATCTTTGGGAAGAATCCAATATTATATATACTTCTTTATTTTTTTATTTTAATAAAATCTTATATATATA